ACGAACCGGAAATGTTCTTAGCATTTCCGCTTTATATCAAATATAAAAAATGACTGCTTTTAGACGTATTTGACAAAAGTTGTCTGTCACCCGCACTCACGCAGTCCGGGGATACGGATCCACATGCTCCGGCACCCACATATAGAGACATATAATTGCATAAATCAAACTCAAGCATGCAACATGAAAAATCGCATTAATTTATCTGCTCACTGCTCATGCAGCCGCTGCCTATATGGGGCAGTGCCACGCCCACTTCACCACCATCCCCACCCATCCCAAAAAAGAACGCCCCAACACGCTCCGGAAAGGCGCTGGGTAACATATCCGCTTATGTCAATTTTTTCCCAACCACTCGGAGATGGGGCAGCAGCATCATCAACGCTGCTCCTTGTGCTCCCCGTCACTCCAGCCAGTTGTCACTGTCAGTTTTGGCTTCCCTTCCAGTGTTTTGTCACAGCTCCTGGTCGGGATTGGGAGCCTCCAGTCCCATTCCCCCACCCATCTAACTTTGATGTCGCCTGGTTTGTTTGTTTAAATGCTACATTTACTTTATGGATTGTTGCTATATTTTTTCTTCAACTGGCAAAACCCGAAAACCCGGGAATGCCGTATAAATTTCACGTCAATTTTTATACAGTGAGGCGTTCGGTGGAGGAGCTCAGCTGGGTGAGCCCTTGACTGATTGTGACCTGTCAGAACTTGCTTCCTTTTAATAACTTGCCCACACAGACAGACACACACCACACACTCAATCGCCCACTCCAGGATATACAAACGGCTACATCCGCTAATAACCTGGCTTTGGCTCGGTTTCCCTTTTTGCCCACTTTAAGTGTCCTGTTCACGCTACATAGTTTAAAATTCTTCATAATTGGATTCCCAGCTTGCAAAGCCCATTTTTTATGGCCAGTTTCGGACCAAAGAGTAGCCGGCTGCATGTCAAAAGGATTTTACAGTTGACGCGTGCAAACCAAAGCTTTTGCCACCCAACCAACCAACCAACTCACCCACCAACTCACCCACCGGATCCCGAGCCCAAGGCACTCATGCTGGGTCCTTTTTTTTTGGTGGGTGGCCAGAGATGGTGGGAAGAGGCTAACCCGTAAGCCCGCATATGTGTGGGTTGGGGGATGTGATGATATGTTCCATTTCACACGGTAGCGGCAATCCTTTCGACCGCACACAGACATACCATGCTCCACATACTTCGGCCGCAGGAGCCGAGATTTATGTTTTCTTGTAAACAAAATAACGGACATGCTTGAGGCCTTTCGCCAGGAACAGGACCTTCAAGGTGGAAATAGGGGGTTGGGTATAGGAGTCAGTTGCCTTGGGCCATCCGGCTGACAACGGGATTAGGCGCATGTAAACCTGCGTGTTCGATTTGCAGCTTTCTTGGCCCCATCCGCATTTCAATCGGATCATCATGGCTGTGTGTGTCTCTCCTCAAATGCGGGACGAGATGTGCGTTGCCATAGACATTTTAATTATTCAGGGGTTTTGGAGAAGAGTTTGTTTGACTGTCAGTTTACATTTCCCTTAATTTTCCCTTTTTTACTCTGATTTTGTGTTCCCTTTACATACTTCAAGTGACTTCGCTTATGTTTCTTTAATAATGTGGGAGTCATGCCCTAAATAGGAAATCACTGCGTATACTTGATATGAATATAAAATATAACGAGCTGAAGTTATGAAGCATTTATTCAAACACATCTTGTTATTGCTTAAAGACCATGACGAATAAATGTTAAGGGCGTATACTTGAGATGAATATAAAAGATTTTAAAGCGGAAAGAGACCAACCCTTTATTCAAAATTATTAAGAAAAGGGATTTAAAATCGTTTCTTCAAAGCAAAAGAAAATATAATAAATAGTTTTTGGAAATCAGTCCCTGGATCAATAAAATTTAAAAAAGCCTTAAAGCAAAAAAGCCAATCCTTTTTATGAAATTCAGTAAAATCCTTTATCAAACCAGTTTCCCAAAAGCTTCTGTTAAAATATCTGATTTTCTAAGAATTACTTGGCATATGCTTGTAAGCTTTATGCAATTAAGACCATTTTCATTAAATTTAATGACTTCAGCACAGACCTGTGTAATTCAAAGAATTTTTGGAAAGTAAATACCCTTCTTTGTTCTACTGACCAGATCTCGGAGCTGTTTCCCAATTATGTCTAGACAATGGCCACCACCAATCCCCCCACTACAACATCATATTTTCTTTTACCTTCCTGTGTTTTTTTATTTATCAGACTGGTGGCGATGCTGAGGACACACGTGCGGAGGTCCGTTGGGCCTTAGGCTTCCCTGCCATATGAAAATAAACCAATTTGCATATATTTTACATAGTGGGTGGACAGACGGAGATTTTCGTGGAAAGCAGAATACCTGGTCACTCATACGCCGCGTGTGCCACAGGTTGAAGGGAACGTTGAAAATCAAAGAAGGCGCAGCTTAATTAAAATCAAAAAAAGGAAAAGGCGGAGGCGGTTATGCAGGCTGAAAATTTCCCTAAGAATAGTTTTTCTTATTTTAAAAATATACACAATTATTAAAGAGACACAGGAATTAAAAACCTTTGTTTTGTAGTATTATCGTGGTGAATGTTTTAAAATTAAAATATGCTTTGTTCACCTAAGTAATAATTTCGTGCTGAAAACTTTTCTGAAAATAATTTTTCCCTATTTTAAAAGCTTAAATACAGAACAACAAACATAACTCAAAATATTTCAAATATTTGTTATTACTTAAGCTTTTGTTTTGAGTATTTTCTGAGTGTATTTCCCAGTAGGCAAAGCAATCGGAACCTCTGGCACTTTTGGGTCTCAGTTTCGGTTTCGGTTTCATGTCTGAGCTGGCTAATTGAGCAAATCCGCCAAAACGGCTTTTGTTGGCCCACTTCCGGTCTTCCATGCTGGTGCGCGTAATTATAAATCAATTGGTGGCAGGGGCATTGCTCTTGATTTGCTTTTCCGTTTGAACACCCTTCTGTAGCTGGGAGTTTTTGGAGTCGGAATACCGAGAATCGAGAATCGGGAATCGCGAGATATGGCAGAAAGTTGCGTGACATTTGGCCAATCCCTCGGGCGGTTTTTCCCAGACAGTTCGTGCCTTTTCGCAGGTCTCTCTGTTTGCCATCGTCCATCGCTGCTCGTTTGCTTTCAATCTGCGTCTGGATGTTTTCAATTTCTTTTGGAATTTGTTTTCACGCAAAAAATCGAAGCGAGCGAATCAGCAGAATTCCATAACCCAGAGTTTGCCCACGGCCCACACAGCTGCAGATACGGATACAGCTGCAGATACAGATACGGATTTATGTGTACCCGTACGTATAATGTTTTTTATGTGTTTATATTTGAAGCGTTCGTCCCTGCCGGCGGTTACTTCTTTGGCATGGTTGGGGTATGAGTGTGACTTCTGGTAAATATTTTCGCAGATTCGTACACCCGCGGCGGCTGTGGGAAATGGCCCCGTAAACGTTTAATAAAATATGATTTCAATTGATTCGAAACTCGCATTTAAACCGACTGGTGCTCCAGATATATACGTGAGCCGTCCCGCCGGCAATCAATAAAGCAAAAAACAAAATGCCCCAAAGAGAGACTCCCCATCCGCAGTCGTAACCCGCATCTGAATCCTTCGTCGTCGGTCCCTTGAGACTGGCGTTCGCCTTGACTTGGCCCTCGGTTATCCGCTTAGATCACTCAACTAAAAAACTCAATTTGCATATTAATATTATTTGGGGTTTTCTTTTTTCGTTCCTGTTGTTTGGCCTTTCCTCAGCCTTTCATCCTTTTATCAAACAAAAAGAACAACAACGGGCGGAGAATCAACAGTAGTGAATTGAATTTGCTCTGCTCCGACGCCCTTTCGGTCGCCCTTTGATATGGCCAGGATCCGGGGCATACCCACACATGGACAGCTGCTCCCAGGTGCATACTTCGAGGGAGTATCCTCCTTCGCTCACACTTCCCCCTAATTCCGGGAGCCTTGGATATCCTGCCTGGTGCTCACCTGGCGCACAAAGGCCGAGCTGTCAGTCAGTGTGTCAGGGCAATTTCGTTTTTATTGGAATTATGTCCGTGTTATTTTAGCATAATCATAAAAATGATTGTTTGCGGTCGTCCGTCGAGAGGAAAAAGCAATGAAGCAAGTGGATTAGGTGAATGATTTCGCTTTAAAGTGGGGCAAGGCGTTAAAATCTTCAATGAGTCTTTAAATTAATGATTTATAATCTATTAATAAATGATTTCTAAGCAGCTGAATACCTTAATCTAAATAAACTCTGATAAGCTGATTGAGTGTTTCCTAAAATACAGGGGAGTTCATTTAATTTAATAACATTGTTAATAACTACTATAGGATTTTATATGAGGTACAATCTTATTTCATCTTAACTATGTTTTTATTCATTTAAAAAGATTAAAACTATGGATATGTTTATCAGAAGCCAGTGAAGGTTTTTAAAGTAAACAATATGTTAAAAACCATTGCCATTTCATGCTTATATAAAATTTGTAGAGCAAGTTATTAATTAATTTATTATATTAAATTACAGTGTTATTTAAGCTTATTTAAAATAATATTTGTCCAAGGCCAACAAGCTTTCGTCCCTGAATATTATTAAATTTAATTGATTAAACTGAAAATGGCCAGAAATTTAAAATGAAATTTAGCATATTAAGATAAATTATTTTGACCAAATGCCAAATGATTTTTTTGTACAGCGTTTGATTTGAAAGTAGAACCCATCCCCACAGCTTTAATAATCACCCCTTAATTAACTCCAAACTTTGGCACTTGATTGGAATTCCAAATAGAAAGCAAATCAGCAACGAGTCCGGGTTTTCTGACTGGCTTTTGGTTTTGGTTTCGATTTCGGCTTTATTTTGACAAACGCAAATGAAACTGAATAATTTATGATTGGGTCATGAATTTAATATTTCATCAGGCCGGCGGCAATTAAAATTAGAATATAAAGTGGGACGTCGAGCAGTCATGTTGTTCCATCGCTACAGGCCCTGTCTTCCTGGCGAAGAGTTGGCCCCGAAGCTCTGGCCGGTGTCCCTATACCGAATCCTGAATCACATACCCAGGCCGCTGAAGGCGGAATTGAGTCGCTGGTCCGTTTTCCTGGATTGGGTGCTGATTTTCCTAGGCTTTCTCGCAGAAGCGAGCAAAACGAGGTGGACTTTCATTACCTGATAGCAATTCGGCAGGATATGGACAGCCTGCTGACGGGCATGCCCACATATCTGATTCTGGTGGAAATGCAGATACGCTGCTTTCAGCTGACCTGGCACAAGGATCGCTTTTGGGCCCTGTTGCAGAGGTTTTATGAGAAAATCTACGTGGCGCAGAAACTGGAGCTTCATTTGCTAGCCACGCGCCTTAATTCAACGGTCTATCTGCTGGTCCTGTTCAATTTCGTTCTGGTCCCCGTGAAGAATGTCACCATTGGCGGGAAGTTCTCTACAAGCAGGTGTATCCCCTTGACAACACGCAACTGGGACTCAACTTCATTAAAAATTAAACATGAAACTTGGTTAAAATTGTGACCCTCTTAAAAACGGATATATAAATGTGGAATATTAGAGAATTCAACCACAAATTCATAGAGGCATCACACTTTAAAATCGGAGTCCAATTACTCAAGTTATGATATCTAGAAGTTCAGTTTTGAGTTCCCATTCCGAAACCCCTTGGAAATACGATAAAATCGAACATGAAACTGGGTTAAAATTTTGACACTCTTTAAAAGGAAAAGTTTGAATGCAGAACTTTAGAGAATTCGATTACAAACTCATAGAGGTATCACACTTTAAAATCGGAGTGCAATTACTCAAGTTATGATATCAAGAAGTTCAGTTTTGGGCTCCCATTCCGAAACCCATTGGAAATACGATAAAATCGAACATGAAAATGGGTTAAAACTTTGACCCTCTTTAAAAGGGAAAATGTGAATGCAAATCATTAGAGAATTTAACCACAAGCTCACAGAGGTATCACACTTTAAAATCGGAGTTCTACAACTCAAGTTATGGAATCTAGAAGTGCAGTTTTGGGTTCCCATTCCGAAAACCATTGGAAATACGAAAAAATCGAACATAAAACTGGGTTAAAATTTTGACCCTCATTAAAAGGAAAAGTTTGAATGCAGAACTTTAGAGAATTCGATTACAAACTCATAGAGGTATCACACTTTAAAATCGGAGTCCAATTATTCAAGTTATGATATCTAGAAGTTCAGTTTTGGGTTCCCATTCCGAAAACCATTGGAAATACGAAAAAATCGAACATGAAAATGGGTTAAAATTTTGACCCTCCTTAAAAGGAAAAGTTTGAATGCAGAACTTTAGAGAATTCGATTACAAACTCATAGAGGTATCACACTTTAAAATCGGAGTCCAATTACTCAAGTTATGATATCTAGAGGTTCAGTTTTGGGTTTCCATTCCGAAAGCCATTGGAAATACGAAAAAATCGAACATGAAACTGGGTTCAAATTTTGACCCCATTTAAAAGGAAAAGTTTGAATGCAGAACATTAGAGAATTCGATTACAAACTCATAGAGGTATCACACTTTAAAATCGGAGTCCAATTACTCAAGCTATGATATCTAGAAGTTCAGTTTTGGGTTTCCATTCCGAAAGCCATTGGAAATACGAAAAAATCGAACATGAAAATGGGTTCAAATTTGGACTTTCTTTAAAAGGAAAAGTTTGAATGCAGAACTTTAGAGAATTCGATTACAAACTCATAGAGGTATCACACTTTTAATTTGGAGTCCAATTACTCAAGTTATGATATCTAGAAGTTCAGTTTTGGGTTCCCATTCCGAAACCCATTGGAAATACGATAAAAGCGAACATGAAAATGGGTTAAAATTTTCACCCTCTTTAAAAGGGAAAATGTGAATGCAAATCATTAGAGAATTTAACCTCAAGCTCATAGAGGTATCACACTTTAAAATCGGAGTTCTACAACTCAAGTTATGGAATCTAGAAGTGCAGTTTTGGGTTCCCATTCCGAAAACCGTTTGAAATACGAAAAAATCTAACATGAAAATGGGTTAAAATTTTGACCCTCTTTAAAAGGGAAAATGTGAATGCAGAACATTACAGAATTTAACTACAAGCTCATAGAGGTATCACACTTCAAAATCGGAATCAAATAACCCATGTTATGGAATCTGAAAGGGCAGTTGTTGGATGATTTCTATAGTTAGTTCATTGTTTTAAATACCCTAGATCATACAGGGCGCCTTTTCCTACTTCACGTTTCTAAATTCAATGCGATGAACTGGGTTATGGATTGCCCGCATAATTGTGTTGCCAATCATTTGGAAGTTATACGTTTCCTGACATCATTTGTGGCCTGACCCATGGCCATTTGTCCGCCCCGAAAACAGGATGCATAACTCCCCTCCCGTTTCCACTCCCATTTACCTTTTGTGTGCTGGATATCCGCTGACAACAATGGAGCTTTCGAGCGCATTCAAGGATATTAACACGTGCATGACTGTGATTTATGCACCTCCCACTGCAGGACCAAGTGCAACTGGAACTGCAACTGCATCTGCCAGTCGGAGCATCATCAATCCACTGGATCTCCACTCACTCGACTCCTAAGCAGCACATTTAGGACAGGGCGAAATTTGCTGCTGCTGCGTTGACAGCTGCAATCCGAAGACGTTACCCGGCATATATCCATATCGATATCCATATAGCCATAACTGTCAGCCATGACTGAGTGGCAGCAATTGGCAGGGGAGAGCGGCAGCCGTAGATACCGTGGCACTATATATACATATATCCACAGATTGGAGGGCGCAGTACATGCTCATCCACTAGCAATGGCACAATGCAATATGTTCACTATTCCAGCGCTTACAGCAGTGCTCAAAATTATAGATGTACTTGCAGGCTTTTGAATTAATATAGTACTTGATTCATGGAAACTTTAAAAAACCTCTTGAGTGTGGAAAGTATTATTTCATCATGACGGTGAACAGTCTTTTAAATATTTCTAATCGTAATAAATATTTCTAGAAACTGATTTTCGGTAGAAAGAACAATTCTCTTATTTATTTTGTCCTAAGAACTTGAGACAATGCCGTTCAAAATATTTGTTCTACCACTTTTTATATGCCAAAGACTATTATTTTGAGCACAGATGCCATATATAGAAAGCATGCATATTCCGTCTGTGTGTATATGTGTGGATACATAAATCGGGGAAAATGTCGTTACAAATATTTTATAACAGGAAATCCGTTATTTATACGCACATTGTGTTGGCAGTGGGAGGTGGGATGTGGAAATGGGTGGTGGGGTGTTGGGGTGTTGGCTTGGTGAGCTGGAAGTAGGTGGTTCGGTGTTGAAGGAGATCAGCAAAATGCAAAGGCAGCTTCAATCGGCACTTGGAAAATATGAATGAATGTTGTTTGCCAGTCGTTCGACAGTCCTGCGGTCCTGAAGCTCCCAACCAAGCCCCCATTCCAGAGGCCATCAATTGCCTGATTGAAGCGACAAAATGCGAAATCCTTATGAATTGGCTACAATTTTATTTATTATTACTCGTTCTATTTGCTGCCTTGTACTTCGAGGGGATGCACTGCAAAGAAACAAAACGACAGCGCTCCTATATTGCAATAAAAAAATAGAATACCTTTTAAAAAGGATGAATAATATATTCTAAATAATCAAAACAAATGTTTTTAGTATCTATTTTTAAGCTAAATGTTTTATCTTTAAGTCCAAAAATGTCTTCTGAGTGATATTATGTCAGAGTGTATTTGAATAGGAGATCTTTTCTACCGGCTCAATCCCAGTCACTTGCTCCCACCCAACTCCCTCCAATATTTCCAATCTTCTCCAGCGTCTTCACAATGCAGTTCTGCAGTTCCGGCGACGAACGACTTGTTTTGAGCCGAACAAAATGACGTTCCCAAGGCGATTCCATTATGATGGCCTGCAAAATGTTGGCAAATTGCAAACGCGCAATTGATATTGGCTCTGTGGATTGTGTGAACAAAGTGTCAATACCGTCAGCTAAAGCAATAACAACAAAAAAGAGCAAAACATTGTCAAGCTGGAGGAGCTGGAAATGCATAAACTTGCGATATAATTTGAATGGTCAACAAATAATTGGTTCCTTGATGGCAAAATAACATTAGAAATTTGCGTCAGTAAAAGCCAATTATATTTAAGAGCTTAGGAAAATAATTTTAATCCATTGCTTGTTTTGTACAAAAGTGGGTCAGGGATTTTTCGATATATATAAGTACTTAGAATTTATAAGGAGTCATTTGCAAAATAACACCAATGGAAAGTTTAGGAACCTTGTTTTGCAAAAAATTTCATTATCTAATGTTTTCTAAAAAGGATTTTTAATCAACATAGATAACCAAGAAAACATTTCTCCTGTCAATGTCATTTGTTACTTTAATATCTATCTAGTTGACTGGAGATAAATTGTACTTTGTTTTGTAACCATTCTAGAAAGTTTCAAAATTACAAAATTAGTTTATATATTTTCTGGATGGCCAGGATCCTCGACAGCTGGCTGTGGGTCCTTCGAAAGATTCGCCTGCACTACGATGTGATCGGTCAAATCGCCTTGCTCTGCCTTCTCGTGCTGGGTGTCTTGGACTATGGGTACTTCTTCCACGGATGGGACCTCCTCTGGTGGAGGCAAATGGTGCTGCAAGAGGAGATTACTCCGCTGTCTGTCCTTCTACACATCGGTGGCGTTAAGGTGGCCATTATCCTGGTACTCACGATGTGGAGCTATACTCGACAAGCAGCTGAGAAGCGTTTGCAAAGGAATCATGACATGCCCATCACTCAGGTTCGAAAGCGGTATTGCCGTTTTCTAATTATGCGCCTGCTGGCATCCTTGGACAAGCTCATCCAACACCATCCTCGAATGGAGGACTTTTTAGAACGACACAAGGACTTCGCCGATGCAGTTGAGCTCTTTCGCTGGGAGGCTCGGAAGCTCTTCGAACGAACGGATCTGCAACTCTGCCTGCCACTCCACGAAGTCCTTCCTGTCGAGAATCAGCAGGAGAAGGACCTCCTCCACCAGGGCTACGGTGAGAAATTACATCGGCTGCGGGAACTGGACATTCACATGATGGTCTACGAAAACTGAAAGGTTTTCGGGGATGGGATTGTTACAAACCGCTTTACCAGTTGCCAAACTTTTTAATTGGGTTTCGGCAACAATCTTGGGTTGGCTGTTGTTAATTTCACTTTGCCAACATGTTAATTTTAATGCAGCACACACATGTGAGTGGGGGTCCAAAGTCCCCGAAGTGGCAGGTTCTCCTAGATAACTTCGCTGGAGTGCGGATGGAGCAGATGTCATGTATCCTGGATGGCAGCTGGGCATTCGTTGGAATTTAAGTTTCACCAAAAAATATCTATGTGCTCTTTAAATTAAATACAAAATGTAACTTTAAGGTATCTGAGTAATGATGTTCTTAATGCAGAAATAATAAAGAGATATTTTTCTCGCTATTTATATAATATCTTGGGATTTATATCATTTCAGAAGTCAGTAAATTATTATTATGTACATCATGTTATTAACTATATCAAGAATATTCTAGGCTTATCCAAATTATGATATATTTTATTTTGTGTTTTACTTTATTTTTATAGAAATATTTTTTTTATACTGTTTTATATTTACCATTTAACCATATCAGTAAGATTTCAGGCTGTTTCAAAAATGTAGATATTATTTTAGGGTTTTTAGAAATATATTTTATTTAGTTTATCATTATATTTTAAGCTTTGTAAGTCTGTAAATTATAAGTTAATTTATTAGTATAAGTACATTATGTTTATATATTACAGAAAGATGCCGGGCTGTTCCGAACTATCGGTCTTAAGAGCCTTACGATCATCAGGCAGCAAAGGATTGTAGCGATATCTTGGGGGTGGTTCCAGGGGTGGTCGCCGAGATGGTGGTCTTAGGGGTGGCGGTCTAAGGAGTGGTGGTTGCAGGGGGGGCGTTTGATGCCCGGGGTTACCTCCCTCTCTTCGCCAGTGACCCACTGGACGCACAGGATTCTGTTGGTAGAAGTGCTTGTGGATGGTGACTGGTCGCAGGGCCAGCCTCAGTTTCTCCTCCTGTTTGTGGGCCAGCCACCTTTTGTGTTCGAAGGCGTTAACATTCCGCTTGACCCCAAACACCAGATGCAGGAAGGGCTTGACCAACACACTTAGGGCCACAAAGCCCAGGAATCCGAAAACGGCTGGAGAGATCAGGGTGAAGAGAAACACACCCAGTGTGAAGGGATTGAGGACCGTAAAGAAGGCCACGAATTTCACAAACGGATACAACACCTGACCAACGTGGCTCATGTACTCCTTTTTCTTTTTCTTAAAGATGCTGTTGTGCCTCAGAAGATACTTGATCTTGCTCAAGGGGCGAAAGGTGGGGGTGGTAGTTTTTGGTTTTTTGGTGGTGGTGGTGGTGGTCAAGGCGGCCAGTAAGGCTGTGGGTATGGTTTGAACTGGCATCTGGTTAGCCGGGTGATAGGGATATCCATGGGGATGATGGTAATAAGGTGGTTTTGTGGGATTGGCGAAGATCACTTGACCGGGCTGGAAAATGGAGTGCTGCTCGTGTTCTTCCGGCTTTTGCTGCTTCTTTCGCTTTTTCCGCTTGCCTTTCTTCTTCCTTTTCTTCTTCTTGTCGCCCTTGTCACCCTTGTGCTTCTTCCTCTTGCGCTTCTTTCGCCTCTTCTTCCGCTTCTTCCGGCGGCGGCGACGTGTGCGTTTCCGGCGTCGGCGAATTCGTTTCCTCCTGCGGCGAATGCGTTTCCGTCTCCGCTTTTGACTTTGCTTGGCCCGAGATTCGGGTTTTAACTCAGCTTTGTGTTCGGCTAGAGGTACCGTGGGTTTTTCCACTAGATAACCCTCTTTAAGATCCTTTTTTATCAAATCTTCTACAAGGGTTCCTAATACATGAAAAGGCTTGACCGTAGTTGTGTGTTTAATTGCCTTAATGTAGTCCTTTTCCAGTTTTTGCAGTACAAGAAAGGGCTTTACGGTTGTGGTCTTGAGCTCATAAGCCTTTTGATCCTTGTACAACTCTTGCAGGATGTGAAAACTAGTGTTTGGATGAGCCTGCAGCCGCTGAGCCTGCTGCTCCTGCTCCCAGTCCAAGTGCTGAAGGATACTGAAGGGTTTCACTGTGGTAGTGCGCCGCCATTTCGTCTCAAAGTCCTGCTGCAGTTGATCGAAAACATGGAACATGGGCTTCCCCCGGACGAGGTCGCGCCCTTTGACCTCGGGAGGAGGAGATGGCGTGGTCGACAGTGGCAGTGGCAGTTGTGCACACAAAGTTTCGTATATTTTTGCAAAATTAAAAACAGGGAGAACCGGGCCGCTAAACTCCAACTTTGCTAATCCATCACGCCCGTGGCTGCGTGCCGTACCACAGTTTTGTGCGAGGAAAATCAACAGAAATGTGGCAAAGTTGCTAACACTTTTGGCACTTCGTCCCTGCCCCATTTCGATTCATTTTGCCGGCGGAGAAGTCCTTCCTCTTCCTTTCTCCCTTTTTGGCTTTGCGATTGAGTTTGATGTTTGATTTAATTTCAGCCTCCACTCGAGCGCTGGCCAACTACAACTAAAGTCCGGCTCTTGGCCATTGCCACTTCATCAGCTCGGGGAGCTGGTAAACTCGGTAACTCGGGGAACTCGCCAACTTGGCCAACTTGTTGAGCCCGTCGACGGGGTCAAAAGGGGGAGCACAGCCCATTTCACTTTTCACCGACTCTTGATTTCTGGTTTTCTGTTCTGTTCTGCGCTGTTCTGGTTTGTTTTCGCTTCTCCCCAGAGTTTCTTCGCATAAAAGTAAAATTTATTACTACTTAGTACATTATCAACGGGCTCTGCTACTCGCTTTCGGGGGTTTTTTCCCCAACCACCCATGTTATGACAAATTCCCCTACAGCCAAAACAACTTGCAAAGCACTTAATTATGTTTTGGGCACAAAAACCGAAAACTGCTGCCCGCCAAGAACCGGAGGAAAACGAGGCCGAGACTATCACAACACAAATTATGTGAACTGCCATGCAAAAGACTTTGGAAAGTACTTGGTGGCCAATTGCAGTTCCCATTTTGTTGCCGCTTTTTGGGACCGCCAAACTTTTGCCTGGCTAACATGCACACTCACATGCAGATTTATAGGTATTCTTGTGGGTCAAAGACCTCTAAAAAACGAATTTTGGACTTTAGAAAACCGGTTTATAAATGTCTAAACTTTTATTTGATTTTTAAAATCTTTGTCTTCCCTTTTTAAGTATTTTAAACCAGAATATCTTTAGTTTCGTTCATAATTTTCTAAAGCATATCTATTATTATATCATTTTTCAGTGATACCAAGATAATATTGAACATGGCTTTATAACGAAATAAATTTAATACTGTGAGTTATCATACAAAATATAATACCTTCTATAAGGCTATAAAAATGGTTTATTCGTAGGACTTTTGGCTAGGGTCTCACAAAATACTCCCCCTGTTTTTGTGGGGCAACATGTGCTTTGGTTATTTGATGTTTACCCATTACATGTGCTTACAACATTAACGTTATGCTATCTGCAGTGAATGCCACTTTGAATTGCCATTATCCTAATTGTTTATTATGGATTTTGATCGGATACTGGGCTGGCATAATGCCTGCGTTTTACGATCCAATCTTTCACATTAATAATAACCCGTAATAAAAACAGCGTAAATGAGCCGAGGGACAGGTGTCGATAAGCGAGTTCCCCTATCATTGCGATTGTATGTAAAATAAAGTGTGAAGTGCTCGGAAAAATGGTATATAGTATCCATTTGCCCCATGCCCTGAAAGCGACCTGCAGCACTTATATTGACAATTAAGAAAGGCATGCAATTTGAACAATTTGCGGCAGGGAGACTTGATTGGCATGCTGTGACCTCGCCCTGCGGATTCGCCATCTCCACGTTGTCATGACGAGCAGCTGGCCAACTCAATTTGATTGCAATTTCGCCAGAACACTATAATTTACGGAAAAGTTATAAAGAGAGGGAAAACAGAATAATTAAGGTGGTCACTATCTCCATTATACTGGTTAGTAAATATTAAATCAAGAAACACAAAGTGAAATTTAAAGTAAACACACACCTTTTACTTACAACATTAGGATAAGTTATTTAATAACTGATTTTGATTCATCTCATAAAATATTTTTAAATTTTAAGTAATGTATTATTTGCTTTATTTTATCAAAACCAGCCTAGGCTGTGATTAATGTATTATAATTAAACATTGGCTTCTAACAAATCATATTTCTACTTAAATAGTCACAATTTCTGACAAAATATTTATCTCCTATTTTATTTGCAATTAATAATATAAATATAATTGCTTGACAATTCGATATCATTGTCAAACTTAATCTCATATTTATGAATTTTTAATATCATTATCGTTAGTTTAATGGTATTTGATACTAAACGCATATGTTTGCATTTAATGACTGATAAATGTAAATTTGCATTGTTTATTTGAAACTCGATATGAGCAGAATAAACCGCTGATAGTCGCTTGATAAGGAATTTTCTTTGTGTGCGAATATTCCGAGAGGAGAATGTCAAACCGATAGGAATTTCAATATTGGTCGTTGGAAAAGCCACAAAGGTTTAAAATACATATATATTTTTCTGGACAATATGCGGCGTTTGCTTCAGGGATGCCGTTCCATCTACATGTCATCCGTGCTCCGAACTGGAGGCCAGATGGATGCCTGTGCGATGAGGGATATGCTAAAGTTTGAGTTCTCGGAGGACAATCAGCGCAGGGTTAAGGCCCTCCTGGCCTGGTACCCAGAGGCAGAGTGGAAGGGAGCTTTGATACCACTTTTGGACATTGCCCAGCGGCAGCAGGGATGGCTATCGATCAGTGCCGTTCAGGCCGTGGCTGAGATTATAAAAGTGGATCCTATGAAAGCCTTCGAGGCAGCCCAGTTCTACACGATGTTCTTCATGAAGCCGCGTGGGAAATATGTGGTCAGTGTTTGCACCTCGACGCCTTGCAAGTTGCGTGGGGGCGATGAGATCTTTGAGGCCTGCAAGAAAGCACTGAATCTGGTGCATGGACAAACCACTCCGGATATGCAGTTCACCCTGAAGGAGGATTACTGCATGGGTGCCTGTGTGAATGCCCCGGTTCTGGCTGTTAATGATGATATGTACGAGGACCTGGACGAGAAGAGCCTGGCCGACATCCTGGCGAAGCTCCGTAAGGATAAGCTGCCGCCCGCTGGTCCACAAAATGGGCGCTGTGCCTGCGAGCCCAAGGGTGGACCCACCACTTTGAAGACCCCACCACCGCCGCCCGGCTTCATGATGCAGGATCTGCCTGATCCGAAGACCAAGAAGAAGTGCCAGTAGCCATTGATTAAGTTTTAAAGCAATAAATTCCGCCTGCCATCGGAAAAGCAATTCGCGCTCTCCTGACTTTCGAAGGGTTCGGGGGTTCAACGGGTCAGGGGTTCGCAGGCCAACAGCTGTTGTTTTGCTAAGCTCCTGCTCAGCGTCCTCCGTTCGCTGCCACTGCACTTTATCCCTGGCCAAAGGACATGCTCAGGATTTCTGCAGCGCTGGCACAATAAACAGACGGCAGCATTGACAAAACAACAGGACAACACAAGATAAGGGCTGTGATAGGTGGCGTCGAAGTTTGAATGCCCTTTATAAGGACTTTTATATTGAAGCATTTGGTTTAAAGACAAGGAATATATGGGTTTCTGTTTGGTGACCATATTTTTAAGGACTTTTTGACATCTGTTTAGTTTTTGTTGGGTAAGAAGTTTCTTATTGTATTCCATCCATACAGGACTAAAGCTCAAAAACACAAAAAATATGTTTTTCAGTGCCATTTATTATTTTAAAATATGGAAATAATACATTAAAGAATTATAATTTTTTAGGAATTATAAGTAATAAGAATAAATAAGACTAACATCGTACAAACCTACCCTCATGTATGTTCAAATCTTGTTTTAAACAGTGTGTTGGCTTTTTGTATTTGGAATTAAATAAACAGATAATTAGTTTTGCTGTATCAAATATTTTAAAATGATATATTGTGAATTTTTTATCAGTGGACTATTCTTTTTGGCTGTCATATAAAAGTCTTCTTAAAGGTAGAGGATTAACAAAACTACATGGCTTAATGATCGAATTTTCATCCAACTGATTTGAATAACCTTGCGGCAAGGGTATAGCCAAGCCCCATGTCCTGTCAGCTATTCCAGCTAGCAATTCGCTTTGGTCTTGTCCTTTCGCCTTCACCCCTTTGCCACCTCCTGGTCGACCCCTGCCACTTGCCACTCCCAGTTGCCACGCCCCTCTTGCGGTTTGACCCCGGGACCCGGCCTGCATTCTAATAAAATGTTGCCAGTGGAGAACAAGCCGCGCATCGAGCAGCAAACAACTGGCAACTGGAAAAGCTGGCCGCGATGGCAACAACCCGATATTGTTTTGGCCAAAATAGTTTTAATTGTTGCCTGCTCCCCAGCCATCATGGCTTTTCCATCGCTGGTGTGCCGTTCCTTTGCCACTCGCCCAGTCAAATTACAATGGATATTTTTCAGTTTTCATAAATCTGTTTGTCGCCCACTTCAATGGCCATCAACAAGCGGTTGCCAGCTGAAATGCCAGCTTTCCACAACCCACGCTTTTCCCCCAGCACATTTTCTCAACCCACTTTTCCAGCCCCTTTTCCATTTCCCATTTCCCAGAACTCTCACCGCCTGTCCCTGCGCATGGTGTTGAATTTTTAAATGAAAATTGTTGCTATTGAAAGTTTTTAATTTGTGTGCGTGCGTTTTAATTTTATTTCGCGTGGGTGATATATTCATCAACCATTTGGGTCATATGACTTTTGCAGGGCTTTTGACTTATTTTTATAAATCTACAATATATTCTTTTATTATAATTTGTGTTACTTTTCCCTGCCGAAAGTCATATATTTAAATGAAAATTTTATAAGAAAGAATAGGTTCTTATAACTATAACTATATATTTTAAAAATCAACATAAAATGTACAATATGTGTAAGATTATAATTATTTCAGGCATTAAAATTGGCAACCATGATTTAAAATTTGATTTTCAATAAAATGCTGTTTTCTTTTAACTTGTAGGTTTTTGTTCTGAATTTTTAAAGAATAAAATACTTTTTGCTCTATTAATGTTAAATCTTGAACTGCAAATTATTTATATATTTTTAATGGCTTGCGCTACATTTTATTTTAATCTGCTTATGCTGAAAACATAATTAACAATTCATAGAGGTCTCCACAAAAGAATTAAAACAATAATTTAATTAGGTGCGAAGTGGAAATGTCGGTAAACTTCACGTTACGGTTTTATGTCACGTAATCGCGCCGAGGCCTGTTTTAAATGTAGAGCCGCCTACTTAACATTTTGTGTACGATCCGTGAAGCCTTGAATGGACTACTTTGTATTTCTA